AATTAGGCCGGGCGCGGTGGCTCAGGCCTGTAATCCCAGCACTTTGGGAGGCCGAGGTGGGTGGATCACCTGAGGTCAGCAGTTCAAGACTGGCCTGGCCAACATGGTGCAACCCTGTCTCTAATAAAAATACGAAAATTAGGGCCGGGCGTAGTGGCTGGTGCCTGTAATCCCAGCACTTTGGGAGGCCGAGGCGGGCGGATCATGAGGTCAGGAGAATGAAACCATCCTGGCTAACACGGTGAAACCCCATCTCTACTAAAAATACAAAAAATTAGCCGGGCGTGGTGACGGGCGCCCGTAGTCTCAGCTACTTGGTAAGCTGAGGCAGGGAATCGCTTGAACCCGGGAGGCCGAGATCGCACCACTGCACTCCGTCCTGGGCGACAGAGCGATACTCCGTCTCAAAATACAAATACAATTAAAAAAAAAAAATACAGTACAAAAATTAGCCGGGCGTGCGCACCTGTAGACCAGCTACTCGGGAGACTGAGGCAGGAGGATCCCTTGAGCTCTGCAGGTCGAGGCTGCAGTGAGCCATGTTCTCGCCCTTTGCACTCCAACCTGGGCGACAGAGCAAGACCTTGTCTCTAAAAACCAAAACAAAGAAACTAAAAATGAGCATTCGGATTTGTTAGGGGGTGACAAGGGAGGCAGTCCAGGATCTGTGGACTCCCCACTTTTGTTCTGTCCTTGGAGAGCCCTGGAAAGTCTGAGAGTGTACAGGACCCTGGTCTAGGGGGTAGGGGACACAAATAACTAATCTGAGGGGTTTCGGGGGGACATAGCCATGCCGTGGGGAATCTAAACTGGGAGGCATGGTCTGGCAGGCCCAATCCTGAAGGATTTCTGTGGGCAATAAGGCCCTTCCTTTAAACAAATAAAAAAACAAACGACATTAACTGGATAAAGAAAAACCATCTCCAAGAGCCTTGGAGGCGGCATGAAGGAGTGGCCCGGTGGGCGTGACCACCAGTAAAAGCTTAAGCGTTATTGGTTGTATTCTTTAGTTGCTCGCTCCAGAACTGCCCACTTAAGGGCGGGGGCCGCTCCTTCAGGCTTAGCAGTCATTGGCTGAATTGGGCCAGAAAGGTCTCATTGGCTGAGTTCCTGCACCGCTCGTAGGAGGCGGGACCCAAAGTAGGCGAGGCCTACGGAAGCTGGGGCTTCTTGCTGTGAGGTCCGGTTACTTAGTGTTGTGGAGGGTCCTTGAGGCAGGAGTGAAAATTGGGTCTGGGGATTAGTCCTGGGGTGGAGGTCTGGGCACGCCAGGTGGGACCCCCTCCATCTTCGGTTTTGCACACCCAGCTTTCCAGGGGTGAGTTGCGGCGGGTCGGGCGTCGTCGCGTGCGTGACGTCATCCATCGGCGCCGCGCGAGGCTCCAGTGGCCTTGACCTCCCGCGGCGTGGGAGGCTGCGAGGCGATGCTGCAGTTGGTCCGGGCCGGGGCGCGCTTCTGGCTTCGGCCTGCGGGCTGCCAGGTGAGGCCAGGGGCTGGAGGCGTGGTCGAAGGATGAAATTTGGGGGTGTCCGGAGGTCGTCTCTCACTTTCGCCCACCCCTTGCAGGGCCTGAGTTCGCTGGCGGAAGAGGCAGCGCGTCCGACCGAGAACCCGGAGCAGGTGGCGGTGGCGAGCGAGGGTAAGGCAACCGGGGTGGCTCCAGGAGGGGCAGCGACAGAGAGGTCTGACCCTTGACCCTAACCCCTGACCCCCGCCATCGCTCCAGGTCTCCCGGAGCCCGTGCTGCGCAAAGTCGAGCTCCCGGTACCCGCTCATCGACGCCCGGTGCAGGCCTGGGTCGAGTCCCTGCGAGGATTCGAGCAGGAGCGCGTGGGCCTGGCCGACCTGCACCCCGATGTTTTCGCCACCGCGCCCAGGTGAGCGAGTACTGTAATGGTGAACTGAGTGGCAGAGGGATGAAGAGCGGGAGTTCAGGAGTCAGGATGACTTTGGGCTTGTACCGTTGGAAAAGTGCTGGATTTCTACAGCCTCCTTTTCTCCACCTGTCAAAGGGGGGGATGATGACAGTTTCCCCTGCTGTAGCGCTGTGTGAGATTGAAGCCTGAGAGGTGACATCCTCTAAGGGTTAGGGAGATGGAACTCTGGAGCCCGACTGATTAGGTTCAAAACCTGCCTTCACCTCTTGTGCCTCAGTGTCCCTATTTTGTCAGCGCTCGGGAGGTTGCTGTGATGAGTAAATGACTTAATTCTGGCACATAATAAGTTTTATAGAAATGCTGATAATCTTTGTTAATTGGTTTTTGCAAATAAGAGCACTAAAGAGACTAAACATTCCTAGGTGCCTGGAAGAGGCTGTTTGCATTTTAGTTAACCTGCTGTTCATAACATCTCTAAGAAAATGTAGGGGCCACGCTGGGCGCGGTGATTCACGCCTGTAATTCCAGCACTTTGGGAGGCCGAGGCGGGTGGATCACGAGGTCAGGAGATCGAGACCATCCTGGCTAACACGGTGAAACCCTGTCTCTACTAAAAATACAA